GTGTGTGTGTGTGAAGTTGTAGAGGTGTGTGTGTGTGAAGTTGTAGAGGTGTGTGTGTGTGAAGTTGTAGAGGTGTGTGTGTGTGAAGTTGTAGAGGTGTGTGTGTGTGTGTGTGTGTGTGTGTGTGAAGTTGTTCGCGCACACGCACCTCTACACCTACACGCACCTCTACACCTTTGCGCACCTCAACACCTTCGCGCACACGCACCTCTACACTTATATTTACAGATGAATTGTAATAAAAAAAGAATGCCAATATGTATAGGACAGACTGGCTCATGAAGCTACTTAACAGACGCAGGGCGCTTGTATTATTTACAATTCACTTTATTAATGCAAAATTAACAAACCACAACACCTCTGCTAAAATCCTGCAATGGTTTAAAAAACAAAAAAACACATCCATAGGAGGGTTTTGTCAATTGTGCATTAATGAAGTTGTTGTAAATAATACAAGCGCCCTGGGTCTGTTAAGTAGCTTCTTGAGCCAGCCTGTCCTATACGTATTGGCATTCTTTTTCAGGCTGAAGCATTAGCTATTGACTAATGAAGACACGGATATATATATATTTTGATAGAAGGATAGAACAGATTTTTATGATAGAGGAATCATATTGCCCTGATTAGATATTCTTGTGTTTCTCTGAAACCCACCGACTTTCCTTCTCCTTCTAGTAGATGCAGGACGAGGGGTGAGATTACGTGTGTAGACAGCAGTGTTTAGTCCAGCCACAACTGTTTCAATGGTTTCATCGAGGAGAGATGACAACAAATATCTGGGAACATTCTGTAAACAAATAAAAATTGAATTAGGGTAGAGAAGAGAATCATTTTAGGTAAGTGCCACCAAGGTCTTACTCCAATCAATGAGAGTCTGTTCACTCTTTCAGTAGATTGAGGTATTAACCCTTTCGCTGCCAAGGACGTACGGAGCTACAAAAGTGCTTCACCAGAACCCTGGGCATACAGCTCCACTGTGGCTGTGCAGATTACTGCTTGCTTCCTTCTGGCTTCTCCATAAGCGCATATGGAGGGCCAAGCAAATCATCTGACTGATACAAAGCATATATAGCAGGATGTGCTTGCAGAAAAGGTAAAAGGACTATTGGTAAGGAATCATCCCTAGTAATTACCAAGCAGGCTATGGCCACTTCACTCCACCCAATGAAGAACAATTTTGAGTGTTCTTTAAACAGGTTTAAAAATATATTACCAATTGTTCTGCCCCATTTAATTCTTCAACGATATCTTATCGAAATAGCCGTTACTGTGCCCCAGTGAGCTAGTGCCAAAAAGTACAGCAGGAGACACATTCATGGCCCTCTGCTGCATTGTCTATGACAGACACTTGTTGTAGTGTTGTGCCTCTATCCCCTCTCTTTGCCATTCACAAAATACAGCTGAAGCATCATCACTGTGCTGTGCTTTGTGAATGGCACAGAAGACCGAGGTGACAGAGGCACAAAACCAGAATTGGTGTCTATCAAAGACCCAGTTCCGATGCAGTAGGGAACTGGAAGTGCGGATCCTTCTGTATTTATAGCGCTTGCTCTCTGGGGCTCAGTAACAGCTTTTTCAGTAAGAAATCATTAGGGAATTATATGAGGCACAATAAATGTTAAGGTTGTTAAAAACGCTGTGCCTGGAGTTGGGCTTTAAAATGACGTACATCAATTCATAACATAAATAGGTAAAGTCATTAAAGTAAATTGCCAACAAATGGCATATATCATGCACGCCTTATCAAAAAGGTATATATGTATATACACAGAGTTGTTTCTTCTTTAGCTACTGCTTAACCATTAAAAGCAAACAACCCAAAAATGAATGATGTTACTACTGTTACCTGTGTATTGCGTGCTGTTGTGCGGATCCTGTTGACACTGGCCCTCACCCTCTCACTCTGCCTGGTACGTGCGATGGCTCGAGTCCTTACAATATTGGTCCTGAGCCGGCTTGTGGTGGGAATCACATCGGCAAGCAAGCTGGCCACCTCTTCTTCACTTACGTGATCTGTCATAATAAATAAGTACAGGTGGACTCACTGATTGGACAATGGGGGGGGGGTGAAACTGAGTCACTTGAGATTATGATCTTATTTCTCCCCTTCTACTGTTGGAGATATTTACTTACTCTCTGGTGAAACCTTTATCTACGTAAGAGTAAGTGAAGGGAAATCCCTAAAGGAGTCCCAGAAAGCAGTAAAACCTGACAGGGGGTCTAATTCTTTCCCACTCTATCCACACCTAAAATCTATTTTTAAGCTTATTGTTCTATGGGAAAACATTAAGTCATTTGAGTGAAGTGTGTGCACCAATCTCGCCTCTGTGTATGGGCAATGGTGTATCCTGGCACTTGCTGGGGGTGTGTGTGTGTGCATGACTGGGTGTTTATATCTCCCCACCTGTACCTATGAGAAATGAAAATCTCCCAAAAACTGCTCTCCATAGACTAGCAATGAAGGTTCTGTCAACTGAACAGGGGTACGTCTACACTGAAGGGGAAAGCAAAGAGCAGCACTCAAGACCTGTTGCAGCCAATTAACTCAGGGAAGAAAAACAGCAAGAGATTTCCCAATCTTCCAAACTAATGCTTCCCCAAACAGCTGTCGGTAAAAGGCATCTGCCTGCCACCATAGACACCATGGTCATCTGTCCATTTCTGCCCTAAGTAAGCCAAAGCTTCTTTTCCAAGTACACATCTTTGACATGACAGACTAAAGTTGGACAAAAACTATACAAATTTTGGCCGGTTCTTGATGAATCGCCTGAAATATGCACAGTCGGTCAGCATCCCTCGATTAGCTGATCGAAGGAGCCGGTCAGAAACTCTTCGCACGAACAGAGACGGCAGTCAATGTTCAGGTAGTCTGACAGAAACCAGTGGCCGCTATCAGAATACAAAGCAAACAGCAGGAGATTCCTTGATCAACGCTCTTAAGCGTTGATAGTGGGATCTGCAATGTTTTCTTCATTCAGCCTACAGCAGAGATGGCCAAACTGTGGCCCTCCAGCCGTGGTGGAACTACGAATCCCATGAGGCTTTGCAAGATTCTCACCTACACAGACATGACCCATGGGATTTGTAGTTTCACCACAGCTGGAGGGCAGGAGTTTTGCCATCCCTGGCCTATAGGCTGCATAAAGAAAATATTACATTGTATGGCCAGCTTAACCCTCTGAACTTGTGCTGGTGCAGCTATAAACAACATACCATGATCTGGCTGATTAGTAGCAGCACACTCTGGACAGAACCATTCATCGACAGGAACAGCATTGAGAGCCGGGATCAGACATTCCATGTGGTACCTAAGAAAAGGAGACAATACATAAACTTAAAACTTTCTCCAAAATGAACTTCAAGAATAGCTGTAAAAAGGCAGTAAAGCAATCACGGGTGCAGGGTATTAAACATTTGGGTTCATTCTGTGCACAAGCAGAGTCCAGTGTTCATATGGTCACAGGTAGAGATGTCCTGATACCAATACCAATAATAGTATCGGTATCGGGGACAATACATGCCATTTTTACAAGTACTTGTGAAAATGCCCCAAAAAACATAGCACCGATACTTCAAATTTTTAAATCGCTTTGGGCTGCCTAGAGGTGCTGCGCTTACTGGGGACCTCCGGGCAGCCTGCCAGGGACCTCACAGCGCCGCCACCTACAAGGCCGCCGCCAGAGAGATCGGGCACAGGCACCCTGCACAACGCTGCCTCCCACAAGCCTGCCACCGCTAGAGAGCTCGGGCACAGACACCCTGCACAACGCTGCCTCCCACAAGCCTGCCACCGCCAGAGAGCTCGGGCACAGACACCCTGCAGAGCGCCACCTCCCACAAGCACGCCACCAGAGACATCAGGCACAGACACCCTGCACAGTGCTGCCTTCCACAAGGCCACCGCTGCTGCCAGAGAGATCAGGCACAGACACCCTGCAGAGCACCGCCTCCCAGAAGGGCATTTTTGGCGTTTTTGCTGCATTACCAATCCACTAAAAATATGAAAAAAGACCATGTAAGAAAAGAGCTGACACCAAAGTGCTCACCCAGCGTCACAGCCATCACAAAGCAGCAGTCTGTCTTCACGGTCACTGCGTCCACAAACCTCACAGTTTGTTGGGTCCTCCTCCACTACTATCACATTTTTGTTTTGTATAGGGACCTAAAAGGAAGAAAAAGAAAGAAACATGCACATAAGTTCACAATATTTTATTACTTATTATTGTATATATATTGTACATTACTTTCTATCACGGTTACTGTATAACAAGCAAGTACGGTCTGGGATACTTTTAATTTGCACTAACAGTTACATTTTCAGGACAAGCTTTCCAACGGTGTTACCTTCTGGATCCTAGCAGTACTGATCCTCAAAGCTTTATCATGATGTTAAAGAATGCCTAACATTTTTCTAAAGTTTTTCGCATGAGTACTGCTTGGACCGGGAACATGGGAACACCCCAAAGGCTTGTCCTGAAAATGGAACGGTTAATGCAAATAAAGAAAATTAATTAAAAATAAAATGATCACAGACACTACTCCATTGTTTTGTTGCAAATCCACTAATACAGCTACAATCACCTCAAGCAGTGAAACACTTGAGATCACATTCTGGGCAATTCAGTATCCTGGTTCTTGCTCTTAGTTCTATAATAGAATGCAGTCAATGTCTTTCCTGAATGATGACTAAAGCTGGCCATACACCTATAGATTATCTGCAGATTTTCTATGGTCAGATGGAAAAAGTGCAACAAATTCCTCCATCTGCGCTAAACTGTGTGGATGGAGGAATCTCTCACAGTGTCTTTCTAGTCGGCCCCGCTGGCTCTCAAAATACCTGAACAATGATTGGATGCAGGCATTGTTCAGATATTTTGAGAGCCAGCGTGACCAACTAGCAAGATACTGAAGCTTGGCCCAGTGAGAGATTCCTCCATCCACACAGTTTAGCGTAGATAGAGGAATCTGTTGCACTTTTTCCATCCGACCGTAGAAAATCTATAGGTGTATGGCCAGCTTAACAGGAGACAGCAAAGATCAAGTCTTCAAAAGGTCAGGGTAGGACAAATCCCAGGAGCCAATGCTCTCTAAAATTTAGAGCTGGCGCCTAACTTTTGAGGTTTTCTCTAGCTGTTGTCAATGGAGCTGGAGCCTGAAACAATTTATTCTGGTTCCTGAATTCCATATTAATTTGTCCGCCCCTGCATAGGTCATCGCTATATACTGTAGCATATGTGTGGCTTACGTGAATTACATTTTTTATTAATAAAAGCAATTTTATGATCAAATTCCAGTAAAAAATTTTTAAACCAAAAGTCTACTCTGTATATTGTAAAGATTGAATCAGTCTTTTCTGCCAGTTCCTACCAGCTGGTTCTGCTCCAGCTTTAATACGCTCTTTGGAGCCCTATGCTCTGTGGAGCCAATTAGAGAGGAAAGTGATCTGTGAGAGTTGGTGGCATAGACTGGTTCCCATGTAGGTACAGACACTTTAAAAAAAAAAAAATTGCTATTATTACAATTAACTTGGCACAGAGCAGCACAGAAGTTCTCCAAGATGTCACAGTTTGGTTTTTTTTGAACACTTGTCAGGGGTGCACAACGCCCGACGCCTGGGACACGTAGTTCTGAGCACCAGGCAGGTTTTTTGTTTTTTTTAGCAGGGCTAAATGTAGAGCAGGGGAGCGGCCACTTGTTTTGTGCAAGTGATCTGTGTGGCTGCACAGCCGCCCATATCACTTGTAGCAGCTTATTCATCCGTCGCTCTCCAATCTGCTCTGTGTGATCAGTGACACTGGAGCGCTGAACTTGCGGTGCTTCCTGTCTCAGCTGCCACAAGCCAGGCTGTATAGAAGATCGAGCAAAATGTTGTGCTCGATCTTCTGTATTGGAGGTCAGGCTCCATAGAGAACCTGTCACCTCCAAACACCATCACATAGGGGCTTGTTATCCCCTGTGTGATAGCAATAGAGTAAAAAAAAATAAAAAATTAATAAATTAAAACCAACCCTGTTGCCCGTTCCATCTGCATGTGAATAACCGCAAGGGTCGGGCATTGTGAGTGTGTGCTGTTCTCCACTCCACTGTGTGCCATATTGTGGTACCCAGCAGCACTCTTTACATGCACAATGTGCACTAAAGGGTGAGTTCACTTTCCCAAATCTAGCCCCCTCTGCCGGTACGGGTGTATTATCCATACCCCATACTACTATCCAGTGCATCCCTGGGCTATGGATTTTGAATTTTACTGGCAGATTGTAAGCAATCATTGGTCAGTGCAGTGACCTGACCACCCTGACCAACGAGAAGTGCTTTGTAGCGCCGTCAAATTAAGTTTTGGTTATAATAATTTTTTGTATCAGGACAAGTAGATTGTCATAGGGACAAGTAAACTGGCCCTCTGCCCACCCGCTTTAGTCCTTGGACAAGTATTTTTTATTATTCCACACTCCTGCATGTACATAAATTTAAAAAAAGAATACAAACTTTATACTAGATGAGTGAGATTAACTTTTCAGGCGAACAGCTAAACACGTTAGCATACTGTACATATACAGGTACATATTTATACGCACATGTGCACACAGCAGATCCTGACTGGCACGTAATGATGCACCTCACTGCAGGTCTGAGTGCTGCTGCACATGAGATTACATTAGGCTGATAGTATGAATTTGTGTTGCTTACACTAGTTGCTGTTAAAAATCGTACATTTTTTATGAACAAAACTGCATTCATTGGTATTTTTATAGCTACTAAGAATTCAGCTTTACTTAACTTTGCAGTCAAATTTAAAAAAAAAAAAAAAAAAAATCACACTATAGGTTTGTTATGTGGCTGCAAAAGTAAAAATGCACTTATCACACATACATCTAAACAATGAATAAAGACTAATAATTAAATTCCATTTAAATCCTACACATTAAAGTACAAGAAAAAAAAAAAAAAATCACCTTTTTTAGGATCTCGCCACCATAATGCGCCCGAATATGAATGCAGGAAAAAGTGATTCTGTCCACAGGGCAGGAATTGGCATTCTGTAGAAACCACAAGTGTAAGATTAATGGCAGGTCAAGAACGCAACACTGCAACCACTTTATAACGGATAATAGTCATTTCATAGCATATAATGGACACATGCAATTTCAATCGCAACTTCACAGAAATATTCTTAGCACCTTTATAAGTGTGATTAAGACCCCATTTACACTGAGCGACATGGAGAATCGCACGTTTTTCCGCGCGATTTTGTGCTGAGCTACATTGTGCGATATTGAGCGGCAGTGCGCGTTTTGACGCGCTACGTAGCGCGACTTTGGGGAGGGATTTTGTTGCCGCTACATTAGGCTGTAACCAATCAACAGCGGTCTTGATGTGACATCATTCTTTCCTTCCATATTGCTGTGCAAAAGTGGCCCTTCAGTAGCGCGACAAGTTCGTGCAATATCGCCGGTAATGCGTGACAAGGTCGTGCAACATTGAGTCTATTGGGGCCAAATCGCGGAACTTCCGCCGAAAAATATTTCATGTTCGAGCTACAAGCTTGAACAACGAGCTACAGGCGACATTGAGCTGCGAGATGCGAACCACTCCATTGAAATGCATTGTACAAGCCACATTGAGCGACATTGCGCAATTTTGGAGCGGAAATTGCGTGATAAACCGCTCAGTGTGAACGGGGTCTAAGACTTCATTCACACTACAGAAGAGAATCCAGTGCAGTGTGTTTTTCTGGTGAGGGAAGCGATGCAATACCCCACTTCTAACTGCTGTTCCGCTCAGTACACACTTTTAGACTTGTCAGAACTGCCAGGTGGCTATTATTACTAACCTTAGACCACTCTACAATGCAGTCCAGGCAGAAGTAATGGTTGCAGTTTTCTGGGGTTCCCACCACCTGATCTCTGAAGCCATTCAGACAGATGGGACAGTTCTCTCTTTCCTCATCCGAGCTCAGACCATCATTTATATCTGCTGCACAAAGAGCAGGTCCTGAGCTTTCCAATGACGGCTCTTCTTCATCTTCGTCATCCTCTTCCTCTGAATCTAACGGATAAAACATTTATTAAAGTCCATGTCAAATATCCCATGGATGAACGTCTAAGGCAGATGAAAACCAAAATATACAGAACATACAACTTTAACAGCACAATCAATTGTCTAAAATCAGTCTTTACAATAACCACCGGGTATAATATCAATGGAGTTTGTAAATTCTCCCGGTTAGCGTTCATACCAAATGGCTCAAGTGTATGTGCAATGGCAGGAGAGACAATATATTGTAAACACCTTAGGGAGTATGGTCTTACGTAGGTGTGTCAACTGTACAGGGTGGATACATATACAGTACTTGGGGTAGACAACCTCAGCACTCCAGTTGTTGTTAAATACCCATGAGGCATTGCATGACTGAAAGCCACAGGCATGACTCTGAGGCATGATGGAATTTGTGGTTCTAAAACAGCTGGAGTGTCGAGAATGCGTACCACTGATACATACAGTAAGCGAACATTCTTTACACAGTGACCACCAACAAAAGTTATATTTCTCTTACTTAGACAAAGAGAACAGGTTGTCTTCTCAGAAAAAACTATGGAAACATCCTTAAAGGCCTGTTCACACCAATCGGTGCTCAGGATGCGCTGGCTGTTTTTTCCAAGACAAGGCAATTTACCTGGTCATGGATGGGCTCGGTTAACACCACCGCTTTCCAGTAGTGTGCACACAAAAAAAAAGTATGGCATGCAATACTTTTTTTAAGCGCAGTACTGAGAAGAATGAGTGTAATGTGTCGATAGCAAGCATTGGCAATGTCTGGGGACACGCACAGCAGCTGCTGGTGTGAATGTAGCTCTAAGGTAGATGTAAAGCCAAAACTTTTAATTTTAGTTCTGGATAGAGTAGGGAATGCTTAAGACTAGAGGTGCACTGAAATTAAAATTTTCAAAACCAAGTTCATTCATAACTTGTGGCGATAGTATGTTTACCATGTCTACAATCATGAATGAACAGGAAGTGATGTGGATCACTTCCCATTCATAATTAGGGACACAGTAAACATACTACGTACTCAATTACTTACAAACACTCAGCGATCACTGACTGCTTGTACCCGCTTTCCATCCTGACACGCTGTCACAGGAGGCTGAAGAGCTCGATCTCTGCCTGACAGCTGTCTCTGCCCCCATCTCCCGATCTGTCATAGGAGGCTAAGCGGGGTGCTGCGTGGGGAGAGCTCAGCCTCCTGTGACAGCACTGACAGCTGTCTCCGCCCCCACACCGCTCTCTTAACCAGTTGACATCCGCGGTGTTAAACCCCCTTCCCATCCAGGCCATTTTTCAGTATTCAGCGCTGCGGTACTTTAACTGACATTTATTCCGTCATGCAGCGCTGTACTGAAATGAATTGCAGCAGTGCCGTCCGTCCGTTTTTCTACTACGGGCGGACGGCAAGAGGTTAATCTGTCACAGGAGGCTGAGCAGTGCGGGAGGAGAGACGCGGGCCGCTCACATTGCTCGGCCTCCTGTGACAGTTTATCTCCTCTCCGCTTGACCCTGGAGAGAAACCAGGCATGCAACGCAATTTCGGCCGAAAGATGGCCATTGGCATTTTGCCAAAAGTGCAATTTTCAGCCAATTTGTTTCGGCGGCCAACAATTCGGTGTATCCCCACCTAACAACACTACAAATGTAAATCTCTCCAATGTGTAGGAAAATCCTCCTTCCTCTCCTTGAGATGCTAAAGTAAATTTCTCCAAACTGTGGGGCAATTCCCTGACACCGTTGCCATTGGAACAGGTGTCCCCATTGCAAAAATTCCCCTTGCCTCTTATTCCTGTGACAACACTAACATTTTGGATTTTCCATCACTTTTTGCCCAGCAACAATGGTCAACAGGACAAATGGAGAGAGCGAATCCACAGACAGCAATAAGAACCTGAAAAGTGTGGGTTACATACACTCTGAAGGGAAACTCTACACTTCACAATAATATTCCTGCATTTGCACTGGTTAAGTGGCCAATCCACTCAAAATAAATAATTTACTTCTGGGTGGATGCTAGTAGTCATCAGAATTGGCTTCAGCCTAACAATCTATTAAACAGTCGTCTCCCTATAGCTCCACAGAGGTCCATTTGCATTACTCACTCCAGCGTTGGTTGCATGCTTCCCGATGGAGACAACAGTGGACCAGAGCAATGCAAGTCAGCTGGGTTGTAGTCTCACCCAGGGGGTATGTGACAGTGACCAGCAGGAGCACAACTTATCACCCTACAACAGGATGTAACTGAACTAAAACATCTTCATGGTGGATCACGGATATTATTTAATAAAAATATACGTTTTGATCTGTTTTATAATTAAAAAAAAGAAAAAGGCTGAATGGAATTTCTGATATATTTCTATGGTGAAACTAACCAGATCCCTCCTCCTCTTCACCTTCCTCTTCATCAAGGTCCTCCTCCTCATCTTCACTCCCTGATTCTTCAGACTCTGCAACATTATCTAACAAGACAAAAAAGACAAATGTCATCATTGTACTACTTCACAATTTGTCATCAGGGAGGATCACAAACATACACACAAGAAACAAAATGTCTGACTAATCATCACAAAAGCTGCCTAAACATGGAGATTTCATTAGATGGTATAAAAATGATGCAGCACATTTTAGATATTACGCAGACAATTGCTATGGATTTTTTTGGGGGGGAATCTCATGCAGCATCTCTAAAGAGTAACTCCAGGCAACACACTCTTAAAGTGAACTCCCCTATGGACTGAGTGACAGCCTTGATTCATTTTCTTTATACACTATGGGAGGCAAGATGGAGACACCCAAGTGGGTTTTGGGTCAGAGTTTTTGATCCCACTAAGTACTGGTGAGGTATTTATAAATTGATGAGTTCATATTTCACAGCGATTTCTCTAACTACTGGCAAAGGAAAGGGTTGCTTTAATAACCCAACATGAGAAAAAAAAAAATTAAAATAAAATGTTAGCAGGCTTTTCATTGCTTTATTTTTTGCTCGTTATTACATAAAACCTTCTTACCTTCCTACAAACATTTTTTTAGAATGTACACAAGCAAGGTATGACTCGGTGTTGGGATAATTTAACATCAGCATGCACAGGAGTAATGTCCTCCAAGGCAAGCCAATCAAGATGGCCACAGATGCCAAATCCAGAAGAAAAATTGGTGAAGATGTGGGCAATGGTGAGGGGGAAGGTAAAGTGTACTGGCCTTGGCTGACCTATCCCTAAGGGAATGTAACCACTCGGATATGAGGTTACATGCGTACACCTGCGTGGCCTGTCATTGATTTGTACAGTCTGCTGACCACAGCTGGCTTTGCTCTGTGTCAGCAAAGGGAAGGATCGCTTTAAGTGGTTAATATTTCCTTCATCACCTAAAGTACATCCACTTTAAATGAAATGACCACCACAAAACATACAAGTCATGTGCATTCATAAAAAACAGATGTTGGGAGATAAAGAAAAAATTAAGCAGTGTACGTCAGTGCCCCATGTTAGTCATCAAGCAGTCATTACCATCATCGCTGGATGCAAAGAGTCCTTGGCGGCGGTTTTTGCCATGTGAGGTATTCCTGTTTATTAGATGGTCTTGATTCTCTTCATCATCCATTGTTCTGCATCAGACGCCACCCACTGAAAGATGGAGGACACACAGTCAGTCACTATAAGTTCAGAAATTTTGTAGACCATATTCTAGGCATATCACCTAAAAAAAAGTTCAGTGACTATACATACAAAAGGATGACAGTTCGCCGAATCTTCTGCCACAGGAGCAATGAATAGAATGAGAGAACTGCTAATGCACTCCAGCTATACTGCTCAGGGCAGCCAATCTGTGGATACACTGCCTACAGATCTAAGCTGAGGCAGTACAGAGGCAGGTGAACAAGATGTTGGCTGCCTGTAACTAGGAGGACCTGATCCTTTTCCTTGACATGCATTTTGAACACTATCCGCCTTCCACATCTGGGTGGGTCTCACAGCATGTAATGCTTCCTGCAGCGGAGAAAGCAGGGGCATGAACAGTTTAAATAAAAAAAGATTAGTTATTTCCATAACTTTGAAGCTATTGTCAATTTCACACACCAGCGTGGCCAGGTCTACTCAAGCAATGGCAGAGAAAATACAAATCCACGCATTGCGCAGGCATGGTCCACCATTGTCACTGTTCGGAAACCATCCATCAGAAATGCCATGCAGCCATCATTAGAGTGCATGCATATAGAAAAGAGGACCCATGCACACCAGAACACAGTGTGTCACAATGTACACTTTTTCGTGCCCTGAGGCGCATTGCATTAGGCAATTCAATCAAAGTGAATGGGCTGTCAGTGCTCACAAAAAAAGGTCCTATTACATTTGTTTTATTTGCAGCATAATACAACACACAGTATATGTATCTGTGCATTGCAACACACTGTAGATGTGCATTGGGTGCAACTGAGTATGCAATGACCCGCAACACACACCAACAGCGCCTTGCGGTAACAGGCTGTAATGAGGAGGCTTGGCATGTGTTTCTGGTGTAAACAAGCTACTGGATGTGGCTGCAAAGCAGTGACACAGAGACAAGCAAAAAACAAAAAAGTTAGGGTTTAAATCTTACAGCTTCCAATTTTTGTCTGCCTCCTTACTGGACAGTGAATAAGCAGCACGATTATGCCGAATAATGGGATGACCGGAGGCTGAGCGGACAATGGACGCTAGAAAGCTGAACAAGGACAGGACTGTCACTTCCCTGTCTGTTCGTTTCATAGCACAAACAATTGTGTTTAGCCGTTTGCCTGGAATTGCACTTGAAGTAAAAACTTGGTAGTGCAAACCCTGTGCCGAGCCTGACAATCTCTCAGCAATGCAGTAATCATGTGAAAGAAGAAGAACATTCCCTACATGACAATGATATTGGCTCACTTCACAAACCCAAAGAAGCTGAACTCCAGCCGGACCATCAGTCTTGCAGAATTTACACAGGTTCCGCTTCTGTACAAAAATTGCTTACTTTAAATTCCATGCACATTGTGAGCTTTTCAGTGTGCATAAGAAGCTGCATCAAGTTAGATAGAGCCCACCTCATTTCCTGGCTGGAGAAAGTGCTCCTCAGCCTCATTGTCCCTGGCCTGCCCCTTTCATTTATTGGATTTCAGCTCTATCAGCCAAGGCGGGAATCAGCATCAAATGTGAATGTTACCTAGGGTGCTCTGTGTGCACATGCAGCCTGCTTAGGAATGTCCACTTTTCCACACGGACATCCACCCATCAAGGTATTTTAATATTTCTCTGGGAAGGACGAAGCAAGAAAAAATTCAATTTGAAGGTGACCAGCAGCTTAATAAGGTAAACACGAAAGAGGCAGCTCCCACAGGTCAAATAGACCGCCAATCTAGGAAACAAAGAACGAAAAAGGGCGCCTCCATAGTGTAAAAATGTAATTTAATAATAAAACACGCAGCTCTAGGCTGTACTTACAGAAATTCAATGGAATAAAAGCATGTAGAATTCGATGGGAAATCGGAACCTCTAGCAGGGAGAGTCTGGAAAGATGTAATTCACCAGCATCCTCTGCCCCTATGATTTCAACAAGTTTACGCGTTTCTGGGGCACGCCCCCTTCGTCAGAACCTATGAAACACTCCCCTGTATCCTGCTATTAAATCTCAGCACGGTAGATCACATGGAACTTTTAAACCAATCATCCGTCGCTAGATCATTGCTGAAGGCTCGTCCAGAGAGGACAGCTGATAATAGTTAATTAGCCGTCAGCTCAGTCTAAATTCCGATTCGGTGTCTTATTATAATATCTGCATGGTAAGAATACAGATCTGGGGGAGATGCAGCACATCTCTAAACTTAAATGGAATCCGCTCAATATAAACTTACGATCTAAAGGAGATAGATCAGGAGAAATGTTATATCTAAGTGAAGATCGCTCTATGGATCGCTGCATCTCCCCCAGATCTGTATTCTTACCATGCAGATATTATAATAAGACACCGAATCGGAATTTAGACTGAGCTGACGGCTAATTAACTATTATCAGCTGTCCTCTCTGGACGAGCCTTCAGCAATAATCTAGCGACGGATGATTGGTTTAAAAGTTCCATGTGATCTACCGTGCTGAGATTTAAGAGCAGGATACAGGGGAGTGTTTCATAGGTCCTAATGAAGGGGGCGTGCCCCAGAAATGCATAAACCCGTTGAAATCATAGGGGCAGAGGATGCTGGTGAATTACATCTTTCAAGGCTCTCCCTGCTAGAGGTTCCGATTTCCCATAGAAATTCTACATGCTTTTATTCCATTGAATTTCTGTAAGTACAGCCTAGAGCAGTGATGGCGAACCTTGGCACTCCAGCTGTTTTGGAACTACAAGTCCCATGAGGCATTGCAAGGCTCTGACAGCCACAGACATAACTCCCAGAGGCAGATGCATCTTGGGATTTGTAGTTTTGGCACAGCTGGAGTGCCAAGGTTCGCCACCACTGGCCTAGAGTTTTATTATTAAATTACATTTTTACACTATGGAGGCGCCCTTTTTCGTTCTTTGTACTAATATTTGCATAACTCCTCCCAACAACCAGCACACTGCTTGCATCGAGGCTGAGAGCTCCTGAGAGGAATACTGAAGAAGGGTGTTGTGATGATTTCAGAAACCTAAGAGATTTGGGTATGTCACTCCTTGATTGGAGGGGAAGCTATACCCAAGGACCTGCAATGCCAGGATCTCCCTGCTTCTGCTTCCTGTGAATCTGATCTTTCTGCACCCTCTCCTCTTGTTTCTTCATCAATAACCCAAAAGCTATCACCTAACCAATTATCAGGAGGGCAGCTCAGACATAAGAAAGCAGAGCCCTGCCTCTACCAAGATGGCCACTTCCACACACAGAGGCAATGCAAAAAAAGTATAAAAGGCTAATTGGAAAAAATACAGAGTGCTTCAAACACAGTATGTTCTCACAGCATTCCATGGTATCCAACAAGAAAGCAGTTGCTGCTCCCTTGTGGACTCTATTCCCCCTAATGAGCTACAGATTAGGAGGGTACATGTCCTTGTCCGACTCATTCAGCTGTGTGTGCATTTCAAATAGAGCCGAGTAGCACAAGATCCAATTACTCTCCATCACAGAAGTAGATAACGGCAGAAAATTCTAAATCAGCAGACACTGCCGCTGTCTGAATGTAATAAATATGAAATTCATAAACAATATCGCAGATTTAGCTGATTAAAAAGCAAAGTTGTATTTTAATTTGCATCCTTCGGATCTGAATAAAACTATGTATAACTCAATACCTTCAAAACATTAGCTATGCTAAGGAAGTCAAAGCGTCCTTGCACCAGGTTCACTTATTCAATGATGGTCCACATGTCACACGCAAAACCCCTCCCCCACCTGTTAAGAATAAACCTAACCAGAAAAGTATAAACATATACACACTTTACCACTTCTGCATGTGTCGCCTAAGCAAGCGTGACATCAAAATCCTTCCGGAAAGATCCAGGGAAAGCTGAAGAATCCACATCTTGCAAGATGATGTTCCTGCGCTGTGCTGGAGTGTCTTCTCATCAACTTTAAAATACTCAGCTTTCCAAGGATCTCACCGGAACCACAGTAATGTCCCCCTTGTTTGGTGCCCCAGGCGGAAGCCGAGTACAAGGTAGGGATGCATCGATAGAGGTTTTTTGGTATAGAGGACGAGTACCGATATTTATATTTCGCTACTCACCGATTACCGGTACTTCCGCTAGCATGGAGCCGGCTTCCCGGACAATCGGTGAGCCAGGTGGCATCATAACCCACCGCACGGCTTCTTGATTGCCCGAGAAGCCGACTCCATGCTGTTTGGCTGGCTTGATGCCGATTGGCTGGGAAGCTTCTGTTTGTCAGGCGGCGTTTGCGCATCTCATGAGACCGAGACGTGGGCAGATCCAGGAGAGGTAAAGTGGCCTGGAAAGCGGTGTCTGCCCAGCTGGCTGAGGGACATCTGTGGTACGGTGAGGACCGCTCCTGAGGATGGATATGGGTGCGATGTGAAGGGAATGAGGTGTCTGCCGGATTGAGTTTGTGTCACCATATTATCAGATCTGTTTGGCCAGTTCGACGCTGAGTGGCTGGGAAGCCGTGTTCCCGGCCAATCAGCATCGAACCGGCCAAACAGTATGGCGCCGGCTTCCGAGCTCCATGTTCTCTCACGGCACTGTCGGTCAGAGGAAACTCCCCCTGACTGGAAGTTCCGGTATCGGGGAAGGTATTGGAGCATTTGGGAGAGGTCGAGTACTCACCCAAATGCTCAGTATCTGTGCATCCCTAGCATAAGGTAAATACCAGTTTTTACTTTTCTCCACAGGTTTTTTTTTTTTTTGGTGATAGGTGAAAAAAGCGCAAGTTTTACATGTCCCCTACTAAATATTCTTGTGCATTAAATACAAGAAATATTATCAGCTTTGCTCTTTAGGGTGGACACTGAAGCAACAATGCTCTACACAACACTTGTTATATAACTAATATTTTTATAAGGAGGTTTTATTCAACTCCCCACTGATTTTTCGCACACTCAGCCCCTGCACCATCTGCAGCCATATGTGGCTTCCAAATTCTCAGTGGGAGTGCAGTTGATAAAATTGTCCTTGTACGAACCG